TTTCTTTCTTTCTTTCTTTCTTTCTTTCTTTCTTTCTTTCTTTCTTCTTCTTTCTTTCTTTTCTTTCTTTCTTTCTTTCTTTCTTTCTTTCTTTCTTTCTTTCTTTCTTTCTTTCTTCCCTCCTTCCTTCTTTCTTTCTTTCTTTCTTTCTTTCTTTTTTATTTATTCTCTGTCTCTCACTTTTGCTCTATTCTCCGTAGATTATACCCTCCCTGGAGTTTATATGTCAGCACATTTTCAATTAAGTCATTGACATGTCTTTTGAAATCTGGCAAAACCAAGTAAATTTTTTGTCTGAGTATAGAATGAAATTCCTTTGTGCCCCATTAGCTGATTTTTTGTGTGGAGTGCTCTCACTCTTTGTATAATAATAGAGACATTTACTATGAAAATATAGGAAGAATAATAAAGTGGATTTTCCTTGTTAGATAACCCATATATTTTTATCTGTATCTATATACCTATATGCCTATTTGGCTATCCATCCACCTGTCCATCCATCCATCTGTCCGCCCACCTGTCCATCTATCCATCCGTCCATCCATCCATCCCTCCCTCCCTCCCTCCCTCCCTCCATCCATCCATCCATCCATTGTATCCCAGCTTTGAATAAGTTCTTATTTTAAAAGTGGCTGAACAATAATGAATACTTAGCATTGGAGTAACAGGTTTAGAAGATCAAAATGCTTCCTCTGTATGATCTTATCCTTTCACTGTGACTTCTAAGATAGCAACCAAGATTGCAGCATGAAGTCATTCAAATAAAGTACCTGTCAGAAACTTCTTAAAGCAGCTGGGTCTTTTTCCCTGGATCATACAGCCGCTCACTCCAGCTGTCATGCAATCCAGAAAAGTGTCTCTTTGGATTATGGCAGGGGTCTTCAAACTTGACAGTTTTAAGACTTGTGGACTTTAACTCCCACAATTCCTTCTCCAATCATGTTATCTCAGGAATTCTGGGAGTTGAAGTCCACAAGTCTTAAACTTGCCATGTTTGAAGACCCTTGGATTAAGGAGTTATAGACAGGTGTTAGGTGCCTGTTCCATAAGGTGCCTGCTCCTTAAAATCAAATCCAAAGCACTGCGTAGTCTTCTAATCAAATATACTGTAGTTGCCGAAGTGGCAAGAAGCTTGGTGCCTACCAAAGGTTTTGCACTGCAGTTCTCATCTGACCCATCTAACATGAATAGTTGCAGTGTTTGTTGTCCAAAACATCTGGAAGGCATCACACTGCCTATGCTTGCATAAGATGCTGGTTCTGGATAAAGTTAAGTCCATATAACTATAGCATTATCCCTGAGCTATAGCTAAGCTAGATAGTTATTATTTTATTAGATTTTTCTTGAGTTATAGAGAGTCAATTCTATCTCTGCTCTGTATCTGCCTATTTTGAATCAAGTGACTGTTTTCACTGGGTAAATGTTGATGTTATTCTACCAGTTCTAAAGGCAACCTGTTATTTAGCTCCAAGGTCTTTTAGCTAAGATCAAGAGTGTGTTTATCTCCTTATGTGGTGACAACAAACAAAAACTAGAACTTTCTCCAGGATTATGAGAGGTCTTGGCACAAGTCTGAAGCATGCTGGTGCCAGTGGTGGGATTCAAAACATTTTACTACTGGTTCTGTGGGCCTGGTTTGGTGGGCATGGTGTGGCTTGGTGGGCGTGGCTTGGTGGGTATGGCAGGAAAAGGATACTGTAAAATCTCCATTCCCTCCCCACCCCACTAACCTGCTTTCCAGCTCTGTTCTCCTGTGCAGGGCAACAAAAGAAAACCCAGCCAATCAGCTGGGACTCGGGAGGCAGAGAATAGATGGGGGTGGGGCTAGTTAGAGATGGTATTTGCCGGTTCTCCAAACTACTCAAAATTTCTGCTACTGGTTCTCTAGAACTGATCAGAACCTGCTGAATACCACCTCTGGCTGTTGCATCCACGAACCTTTACCAATCTCTTCCTCCACTTACAGCTGTTTAAAATATATCAGCTGCTATTAGGGAGTTTTCTCCAATTTGAGAGAGTTGGATTGGCTTAATAATCTAAGATTACTTAGGACAAAACAGCAGAACAGGAGTGCAAAAGTCTTGGTGCTTTTGTGTACTGTAGTATGAAGCTAAGCTTTTTTTTTTTTTAGTCCCTTTTCCTGATTCTCTGTTGTTTTGTAGATTTCAACTTCTATCGTTCGCTGAACAGGGCTACCTTAAACCTAAATATATCTCAACTTGGGTTCTACTTGATAAACCTTGACTTTTCCAGTTAAGGGACAGGAAAGGCCCTTGTCTGAAATCCTTGAGGGCATGTTCTTAAAACCGTAGATTTTTAAATTTGACTTTTTTGGCATACTCCTGGAACAATCATGAACCGAACATTGTTTCTTAGTTTTGACTTTGGTAGCCCTTTGAAGTCCTATATGGCATAGGGCCAGGCAACCTCTTTGCTGTTACCTGTACCCATCACATCAGATCTAGCAGGACAGGCACAAAGGGAGGGGGGGTGATTTATTTTCCAAAGTATCAGAGGGCAGGACAAGAAGCAATGGATAGAAACTTCCCGACAGTGAGGACAATTAACCAGTGGAATGGCTTGCCTTCAGACGTTGTGGGTGGGTTTTACGACAAGACTGAACAGTCACTTGTCTTTATACAGGATCTCCTGTCTTAGCAGGGGGGTGGAATAGAAGACCTCCAAGGTCCCTTCCAGCTCTATTCTGATTGATTGATTGGTTGGTTGATTGATTGCATGCCACTGCATCCACAAAAGAAATCTACCTAGGAAGCAAGCCTTTTTCTGCTATGGCACCAATACTCTGGAATATTACCTGTCCCAAGGTGAGGTTAGCCCCAACCCTTATGGCCTTCCATAAGGCTCTGAAAATACAAACGTGGGGATCCCATAGTAAGTTTGGGTCTTTTTCTATTTCAGTTAGAACAAGGAGATCTTTAAAGCTGGAGCTTTAAAATGAACGTTTATTTGTCAGCGTGAAACACTGTTGTACAATGAAAAGAAAATCAACCACGGGGGAAACAAAATCTGTTCTTCAACTAGCTTATAGAAATGGAGAGCATCTGATAGTTGTGAGTGATGTAAGCAAGAGGTGAGAAAGTAGTTATACAGGAAAGAACTCAAGTATAGAATTTGCCCCCCGTTCAGCACTAAAGAGCATTGCAAATTACTGACTGAATGTATAAAGGCAGATAGATAACTCCACAAAGCATCCATACAATGTCTTTTTATTGGTTCATCAGGCATCCTCAATATAACTTACAGTTACGTCGAGAGTCATCTCAATGTCCAACTCTTTGCATAGCTGACTTTCTGGTGTAAAAGGATGGTAATCTTTCATCCTCAAAATGAAGGCGCAAGGGGTTGAGGCAGCAGCATGTCCCTGGGTTCCAGGCAAGAGTGAAGGAGTCTCCCCCAACCAACCAGGGGTCAATTCAGTGACCAATCAGGATTACAGATGTGGCCACATGACATGGACTACATTTCCCAGGATACCTTAACTACATTTACCATGATGCGTTCCCTTAAGGGGACAGCTCCCAATTGCTAACTAACTATCCCACTTCCATTAACTATATACTGGCTGGACAGCACACAAATATTAAATTGTATCATTGATTTCCCAAAATGGACTGTATGCCTACAATTATTGTTAAAATTACTTGTTTTGGGTGAACACTGAGTATCAAGCGATAACGATTCCCTCCTAATTTTTATGCTCTGCTAAAATGAAGGCTTTTTTGTCTTTCTTAACCACCTCTATAGTGTCCAGCAAACACCATTTTATGGATAGCAACCTGCTCTATCAGTTCCGAATGAATTTCCGCCGCAGGAGGAGATTGATGGAACTGCTCACCGAGAAGTCCCATTTGGTGCCGGAGAGCCACGATAGCCCCTTTTGCCTGAGGAAGCAAAATCATGACCACAAAAAACACACCACGTTCCTCTCAGGTACATGTTGGTTTAGCAATGGAGGGTAAATGGAAATTCAGTTGTAAAGTGAATCATCACGTGACCGGACCCACTTTTACGACCTTGAGTGAACGCCGCAGTAATCAAATGAACTCCACAGTCGTAAAGCAAATGTAGTAATTAGGTGGAAACTGGAAGTAAACACCAGTTCCTGGGGGGGGGGGGGGGAACATTGTGAAGGACAGTCACGTGACTGTGCGAGGTGGCAAACAGCTTTAAATGTGGGCCCGTTGCTGTGGGCCTAAAAATGTGGTTGGAACTTCAGAATTAGTAGTTTTTGGCAAATTTGTCATATTTTGGACAAACGCCAGTTGTATGTCAAGGACTACCTGTATGCATAGGAATTAGTTCAATACCTCTGTTAAGCCTGGATTCCCCAACGGGTGTTAAGGAAAGCAAACTAAACAGAATGTGCAGCGAAGTCAGATAGGAAGACAGGTAAATGTGTGAGATAAGCCTTCTCGTTAACACGCAGTAAAAATACAGATACGCTTGTGCTATCAAAATTATAATTTATTCCATTTAAGAATTATAGCATAGTCATTATAAACAGTCCATTAATCATATACCAATTTTCATTCAAGTCTTGTCAAGGATACTCTAATTGCAAAGTCCGTGTCGAATAGCCAGTGTCAGTACACATATAATAAATCTGTCCAAAACTTATCTTCTCTCCGTTGAGAAATATCTTCAAAGTAATCCAACACTTCTTCTCCTCCCCGATCCAGCAAGAATGCAGTCTTCACTAAGCCAGCCAGTAAGAGCCAGAGAGTGCCTTGCTGCTTATATAGTACTTTTACAGCTGCACCCTTAATTACATTCCTTTAGCTTAAAGTCACATACACTTTATCTGACAAACCATGATTCATCATTTTATTATCTTTACCCAAAACAGTTAGGGTAAAACAATGTTATCCCTAACAACCTCTAATTGTACATCATGTTTAAGTAACATACAGTATATCTGGATACATATGGGGGAACACCAGAGGTGGTATTTAGCCGGATCTGACCGGTTCTCAAGAACCGGTAGTGGAAATTTTGAGTAGTTCAGAGAACTGGCAAATACCACCTCTGACTGGCCCCGCCCCCATAGATTCTCTGCCTCCTGAGTCCCAGCTGATTGGCTAGGTCTTCTTTGGTTGCCCTGCACAGGAGAACGGAGCTGGAAAGCAGGTTAGTGGGGTGGGGAGGGAATGGGGATTTTACAGTATCCTTCCCCCAGGAGTGGGGAAGAAATGGAGATTTCCAGTATCCTTCCTCTGCCACGCCCACCAAGCCATACCACACCGATCAAGCCACGCCCACAGAACCGGTAGTAAAAAAAAATTGAATCCCACCACTGGGGAACAGGATTGTTTTTGAAGTATTGCATGGTTTGGATGCCACATGGGAAAACTGGAAGGACCAAAGTCAGACAGAAAAAAAAATCCAGAGACTAAGCAGGCCTATACTGTAACCGTGGACCAGTGTCCCATCACTGAGAAATAACCAGTTTGATGCACAGGTGGGAAAAAGAAATATAAGGTTTGAATCTGGGCTCGCATTTTGATGGCTTCAGGGTCATACCTGGCAGTTGCTGGTTTTCTTCTCCAATTACATTTTTTCTAGTAGCTATAATAAAATTAAAACGATCAAAAAGCTATGGCCTACTGACCTTCATTTTGAGGTCTGGGTGAAGTCTTGCATTCCTTCGTTCTATATTTTCTACTTTCTGCTCTCTATGTTCTGAGAGAGAGATAAGAATCTGCCTTATTCTGACTCAGAAAGTTGATTCCGTCAGCCAGGTACCATATACCAGTACAGGTAGTCCTTGACTTACAACATATCATTTAGTGACCATTCAAAGTTACAACGGACACTGAAAATGGTGACTTATGACGGTTTCTCACCCTTATGACTTATGGTTGCAGCATCCCCCATGGTCACGTGATCAAAATTCGGATGCTTGGCCCCTGGTTCATACTTATGACCGTTGCTGTATCCCAAGGTCATGTGATGCCCTTTTGCAGCCTTCTGACAGGTCAATGTGGAAGCCAGATTCACTTAACAACCGAGTTAACTAACTTATCAAATGCAGTGATTCACTTAACAAATGTGGCAAAAAAAGGTCGTAAGAGGGGGCAAAACTCGCTTAACAACAGTAACTTTGGCCACAGTTGTGGTCGTACATTGAGGACTACCTACGCTTGGTTCATGACTAGTTTCCTTTTAAGAACACTGGTCATTTCTGACCCTACTTGGGGAAAGAGTGCTTTGGGGTTTGTTTTTTTTCCTTTCGTTCTTTTGTTTTGGGTTTTGCTTCCTTTCGTTTCCTTTTGGGGGGGGGGTCCCCAAACTTGGCAACTTTAAGACGTGTGGACTTCAACTCCTGGAATTCTGCTGGCTGGAGAATTCTGGGAGTTGAAGTCCACACGTCTTAAACAGTGGTGGGATTCAATTTTTTTTTATACTCCCCATTCTGTGGGCGTGGCTTGGTGGGCGTGGCAGCAGAAGGATACTGTAAAATCTCCAGACAGAGGTGGCATTTGCCGGTTCTCCGAACTACTCAAAATTTCCGCTACCGGTTCTCCAGAACTGGTCAGAACCTGCTGAATGCCACCTCTGGACTCTTAAAAGTTGCTAAGTTTGGAGAACTCTGCCTTTAGGAAGTGAAATGGTTCCAGGAAATTTTTGTGTATTCACATGAAGTTCATTGCTGTTAATTACACCCGGGTGTTGGCCTTTTAATGCTTGACAAAAGGATGTGGTAGGGAATACGCCCTGCAGGCAACGATTCTTATCCCTGGCAATTCTCTGTTAAAGCCTCTGCTGGTAGGACAATCTCATCTGAACTGTTGGCTAAATACAGGAAACCAAGAGGTGGGCAAACACCCTTGTTCTTTGCAGGTAGCACTCGACGGATGACCAACAATTGAACCCAAAGTTTCCGTTGCTAAGCAAGACGGTTGTTAACTGAGATTTGCACCATTTTGCAATCTTTCTTGCCACAGCGGTTCAGTGGGAATCACTGTGGCAATTAACCTAGTAACATGGTTGTTAAAGTGAATCTGGCTTCCTCATTGACTTTGCTTGTCAGAAGGGTTGCAAAAAGAGAATCACCAGACCGTGGAAAACACTGCAACCGTCATAAATGTGAGTCAGTGGCCAAACGTCTGAATTTTCATCACCTGACCATGGGAACGCTGCAACAGTTGTCAGTGTGGGAAAACGGTCATAAGTTGCTATTTTCATCACCGTTGTAACTTCAGTCACTAAACAATCGATTGTAAGTCAAGGACTGCTTGTACTCATTGTACACATTGGTAAATATATATATATATATATACCAAATACAAGCTAGGCGGATATGACCTTGTTGATGACCCTCTGTCAAGGACCTTGGAGCAGGGGTGGGATTCAAATTTCTTAACAAACAGTTCTGTGGGTGTACCCTAATTTTTGGATGTGGCTTGGTGGTCATGTGACTGGATGGGCATGGCTTGTATGTAAATATTGTAAATATTTATGCAAATATTGAATTTTTTATTTAAAAAAGAGCAACTTTTACCCAAAACAAAGCAAAGCAGGCAGGCAGATTGAGTTGCTTGCAGAATCACACAGTCACTCACAGATCTACCTTTCTGCAATCTGCTGCCTGAGTCTGCACTGAAAAATAGAAGGTTCAATCCTAAAGAAGGTTCAGCTCTGCTCTCAGGCCAGTGGTGTGATTTGCCGGTTCTCTGAACTTTGCAGAATCGTAACAACCGGTTCTATAGAACTGGTCTGAACCAGTAGAATCCCACTCCTTCCTTGGAGTTCTCATATTGAATGATCTAAGTGCCAAAGCTCACTGCAGCAGTATTGCCAAAAAGGCTTTAAGAGTTGTAAATTTAATTTTACAAAGCTTCTCCTCTGGTAATACTGTTTTGCAAACTAGGGTATTCAAAACCTTTGCTAGACCAATACTTGAATTCAGCTCTGCTGTCTGGAATCCGCACTGTATATCAGACATAAATACAATTGAGCGAGTCCAGAAGTATTTTACCAGAAGAGTACTACATTCCTCTGTTCGCAACAGAATACCCTACAGCACCAGACTTGAGAGTCTAGACTTAGACAACCTTGAACTACACTGACTAAGATTGGACTTAAGCATAGTACATAAAATCATATGTTACAACATCTTACCAGTTAATGAATACTTCAGCTTTAACCACAACAACACAAGAGCACATAACAGATATACACTTAATGTAAACCACTCCAAACTTGATTGCAGGAAGTACGATTTCAGCAACAGAGTGTTCAATGTCTGGAACTCACTACCTGATTCTGTTGTCACCTGCTCAAACCCCCACTCCTTCACCCTCAAACTAACCTCTATTGACCTCACCCCAATCCTAAGAGGTCTGTAAGGGGCATGCATAAGCACACCATCGTGCCTACCGTCCCTGTCCTATTGTCCCCAATTATTAGTTCCTAGTTCTTATATTTAAACTTATGTTTATTCTTATTTCTATAGTATTGTAAGCTTTTGACAAATCAAATAAATAAAAAAGAAATAATTAAAAAATATTCTTAGGATCACAAACTATTAGCAGCCTCCTGATGGGTAGTACAAAGGGTAAGAAAGCAGAATGAGACACATTGATTCTATCGTTCAAAGCCACTTCATTCTCACTCCATATTTTCATCCTCCCACGTAGCAGGTTGCATATGCCAATGGTCTTAGGACAATTATTTTTCACAGAGTCAGTGAGAAACATTGCAAAATCAAAGGTTAGTTAGACCACATTGCCCAGAAAAGGTAAAAGTTCCCCTGTCCAGTCATGTCTGACTGTAGGGCACGATGCTTTTCTCTGTTTTTTTATTTATTTTATTTGGTCAAGCGATTATTAGATAACAGGTGTAAGTACAAACATGGTTATGAATACATGAAATGGATACGAATAAGAAAAAAAGAAACAATAGGACAGGGACGGTAAGCACAGACCTCTTAGGAAAGGGGTGTGGTCAATAGTAGACAGTCTAAGGTTAAAGTTTTTGGGGTTTGGGGAAGAAACCACAGAGTCAGGTAGAGTATTCCAGACATTGACCACTCTGTTGCTGAAGTTCTATTTCCTGCAATCAAGTTTGGTGAGGTTTACCTTGAGTTTGTATCTACTGTGTGCTCTTGTATTGTTGTGGTTGAAGCTGAAGTATTCATTGACAGGTAGGACATTGCAATGTATAATTTTATGTACTATACTTAGATTGAACCGAAGGCGGCGTAGTTCTAAGTTGTCTAGGTCTAAAATTTCAAGTCTGGTGGCAGAAGGTTTTCCGCTATGAGTAGAGGAGTGGAGAACTCTTGTGAAATATTTCTGTTTTTTGGCCAAGGGAGCCAATGTGGCCCAAAGACATTTTTCCGTGGTCACATGGCTATACGCTAAAGACGCATGGAATGTTGTAACCTTCCCACCGAAGTAGTACCTATTTATCTACTTGCATTTGCATGCTTTCGAGCTGCTAGGTGGGCAGGAGTTGGAGCAAGTCATAGGGAGCTCACTCCATCACATGACACTCATGTCTCGAACCTGGGCTCTCACCTCTCCAGCTGACAACTTATGACTAGTTCTTGTACATAATAAACCCCTTTTCAAGCGCCTTTAACCACTGGGCCATCGCGCCCCTTTTAGAATGCACAGAAGAAGGGGGCAAAAGGTTTATTATGTACAACTAGTCTTCATACTTCACCTTGTTCAACACCATCATAACTTCAAATGGTTGCTGAACGAGTGGTCATTCCACGAGAGCTACATGTAACAGGGTTCTGAAATGACAGAGAAATGTAAGGAAAGCAGTCAAGAGACCCCAGGGTGGTTCTTGTCTTCTCCATAAATCTCCCTCCCTTTTTGGTTTGGACAGTGAGCCCCAGCAAGGAGATCAAGATTGTCTCTGCGGTCAGACGGAGTAGCATGAGCAGCTGTGGCAGCAGCGGGTACTTCAGCAGCAGCCCAACCCTCGGCAGCAGCCCGCCAGTCCTCTGCAACCCGAAATCTGGTAGGACGCTGAGGAATGTTTGCAACAGTGATGGTTTAGGGCAGGGGTGTCAAACTTGATTTCATTGAGGGCTGCATCAGGGTTGTGTTTGGCCGGGGGGGGGGCTGGGGGGGGTCTGGCCAGGGTGGGCATGTCCAGCAAGGCGTCACTCGTGTTGGGGGTGCCTGTGATGGGCTGAACGCTCTGCCAGCAAAAACAGGCTCCCAAGCTCCGTTTTCGGCTGCGATGGCCTCCTGCAACCCTCTGCCAGCAAAAACGGACCTTGGGAGTACTTCCCGTGGCCCTTGAGAGCTCCATTTTTGCTGGCAGAGGCAACAAGGGTGGGTCCTTTGCTGCTTCTAGGGCGGCCCTGCAGGCCGGATCTAAGCACCCAGGGGGCTGGATCCAGCCCCCAGGCCTTGAGTTTGACCCCCCTGGTTTAAGGGGGTCATACTTCTGCATCATTGTGTCTAACGTACACATTTTGTTTCTTTTTTAAAAAAAAATGCAAGTAGCAGGTACTGAGCTGGGGAATGTGATAATGCTTGTTTGTGGCTATTTATTGGAGAGCAAATTTAACCTTTTTTTTGTTTCCAATTATGAAAATGGGTCAGGAACGGCTGTTTGCCTTGAGCAGAAGTTAATAACTTTGGAGGAGCAATTATCATCCCAGGCAGAATTAAATGCTCACATATAGCTTCAAGTCACATTTGGCTTCTTGAGATAACAGTGGTTATCTTGGTACTTGTGGACATCCTTATATCCTCAGTATAAAAAATGTTTAAAGACATTTGGTTGCATAACTTACTAGCTTTATGCTGAGTATATCTTTCCCATCCCTGCCCTTCCAAATCTTATATCCTGGCAGGGCAACAGCAATCCATTCTTGCATTGTTGCAAATAACACTTACAGTAGAAACCAGAAGCTGAGTTTGAATGAGCAGAATGGAGTCCTCATTTAGGGCTACGCAGATATTTGGAATTAAAGAGTTTGGAGGATATTTAAGTGTGCACCTAACACCTGTCAGAAACCATATAAAGCAGTGTTTTTCAAACTTGGCAACTTTAAGATATGTGGATCTCAACTGCCAGAATTCCCCAGACAGCTTGATATCTAACATTTACTTTATTATTTTTTCCAGATGTGTTAACTCAACCTTATTTTCTTTATAAGTAACTCAAGGTGGAGAACATACACAGCACACCTTCCCGTTCCTGTTTTCCCCACAACAACAACCCTGTAAGGTGGGTTGGAATCAGAAAGTGACTGGCCGGCTTTCATGCCAAAGCAGGACTAGAACTCACTGTCTCCTGGTTTCTAGCCTACCACCTTAACCAAGGAAACGTTTTGGTCCTAGGTTAAAGTTTTGAACAGTAGATACAGATGAACTCCTAATCATATGTTGCCCTCCAGATCTCGCCACAGTCCTTACCTTTTTACATGCTTGTGGTCCAAGCAATAAAATAAAATGTATATACCATATTTTTTGGACTATAAGATGCTCCGAAGTAGAAGATGCTTCTAGCTTTTGGGGAGGAAAACAAGAAAAGAAATCTGCTTCCCAGCAATTTCCCTCCTTGCAGCAAACAGCATGGTCAGCTTCAGCACAGCCTGTGTCATGCTCCAGTTGGAATCTGATTTAGAGGGAGAGATGGAACAGCTGACAGGGAGTGGGAGTGTGGCTGTGGTGGCTGTGGAGGAAACTGGGGAAGGGCACAGGCCGGCTGGGCAGTCAGAGGAAGACTCAGGCCCACCACCTCTTCATCTTAGGGCATGCAGGGAGGAACGGATAAGGGAGCAACGTAGTTTATGGGGGAGGAAAGGGCCCTGATCCCCTTCATGGGCTGCAGCTGGGAAGACTGTTTAAAAGGGCAAACTGCATAGCAAAGTTGCTGGAAGCAAAGCATGCATTATCTTTATCGAGGCTTATCTGGGTTTTGGTGTCCTCCCACTTGTGTGTGCCTTGTTATCTTTTGGAAGTCTGCAAGTTATTATCCTGGTCTGTCATGTTAATTACTTCAGCATGGTTTGCGTTGGTTTTTTTTAATCTCTACTTTATCTGTAGATAAAGTATCTGGGTTCAGACTGCATTTCTTCCCTTTGTAGACTGTTTTTGGAAGAGTTTGATCTCCCACCAAGTATAATTGGACATTGTGGGCCAAGTTGGAGGCATTAAAGGGAATTTATCTACTTTGGTGACTTTGTTATTTTTGTGCCATGCCCCGGGTCATCACAGCCTGATTTAGCATGAGCAGCTGATTATCTATTAGATCGGCCTCCCAACGATCAGCTGTTTCAGGCTGCAGGGATCGCCATCACCTATTACTGCCTCTGTGCACTCCATTTTAGGCCTCCTCATCCAATTTCGGCCTGTTCCAGGTGGCAGGGATCGGAACAGGCCAAAAATGGGGCACGTAGAGGCCGAAAACAGGATGCAAAGGCCTGCTGGGAGGCAGAGGCCGAAGAGTGTGGGGTGGCGGATGGGTAGGGCTTCGGCAACATTCGCTGCACAGACATTTCCGCTCACTTTTCGGGGTGTGGGGAGTGCATCTTATACACCCAAAAATACGGTATATAAAAAGCAAAAGTCACTACCTATCTGTATATGTAGAACAAATAATCAAACTAATCATCATTTGTCTAGACAACAGTAGGCTAAGCTCTACAATGGACAACTCCATGTAATACAATATTTCTTTTGGAGACCTGTACAATTTCCATTCAAAAATGAGGAACTGAATTGTCTACAGGCTCCCAATGGTTAAATAAACAGACACACCAGTACTTTCAAAGCTAGCATGCCAAGCTAAAGAGAACCCTGATAAGCTATGTCAGATAAGCTGGGGTGTTTAAATGATGAAACATTCCAGCAATTTTATATCTCTTGTACATTGTTATTGGCACAATAAAATAAAATTATTGTAAGGCTGTGAGGACTTAGTTGTGTGCCCTGGCCTGAGGCCATGAATATGTTAAGATTCCCGTTTCCTGGTTGTATTAACATCATAATGACAGTTTTATTTAAAGCCACAAACATTTATTTTGTCCTGTTTTTAAGCCTCCCAGACACACTAGTTGAGATGCTCAGCTGTAGAAATAAAAAAAAAAAAAAAGATTGTGGTAATAGAAGCCAATTTATTGTTAATGAATTTGAAAGGGAAAGAGTTTTATTTGAGAATCAGGGCTTTGCCAGAAAATGTGGAAAAATAAATCGTGAGAAGTGATCTCTGGACCCTGGTGGCGCAGTGGTTAGAATACAGTATTGCAGTACCTCTGCCCACAGCCTGAACTTTGATCTTGATGGGCTCGAGGTTGACTCAGCTTTCTATCCTTCCGAGGTTGGTAAAATGAGGACCCAGATTGTTGGGGGCAATATGCTGATCTTGTAAATCAGGGGTCCCCAACCACCAGTCCGCGGACCGGTACCGGTCCGTGGGTCATTTGGGACCAGGCCGCCTACTTTGCTTCGGCGCCATCTTGTTCCGACGTGCTGGATCGAGCGCTGGTTTTGACGCCGTCCCTCAGCCTCGCTCGACCAAAAACATCGGCTCCACGCTGTGCGTGGCTAGAGAAAAGGGAAACGTGGTAGCCGTGGAGAAGCTGCTCTCCCTAAGAAGGAGGCTCCTGATTCGCCGGGCTTATGCCAGGAGTTCTGCGAGGCTCTGGTGAAGGGAGGCTATGCTGCTATCTCGATCCCAGCCTGCACGAACTCCCTCGCCCTCCTTGGAAGCGGCCGGCAACCTGGTCAAGGCTCACGAGAAGCTCTTCTTCAATCGCCTCACCGACACGCGGCTACAGGCTACTCAGGTGAGCGGCAGGAAATGGGAGCTGGGCAGCCACAGACCAGCCATCTCTCCGTCTGATGGCCTTGGCAGAATCTCCCAGCGCGCTTGGTCCTCCGCCCACAGGCTTCCCTGGCCCCTTGCCAAGTGCGTTTTCCGCCCCAGCCCAGCAGGGCCCTCGCTGCCTTCCCCTCGCCTGGCCGGCCGGGCTCCTTAGTAATAAATAAATAAATAAATAAATAAATAAATAAATAAATAATAAAGAAAGAAAGAAAGAAAGAAAGAAAGAAAGAAAGAAAGAAAGAAAGAACCCTAACCGGTCCATGAAAAAGTGTTTCTGCGTGAAACCGGTCCCTGGTACAAAAAAGGTTGGGGACCACTGTATTGTAAATCACTCAGAGTGCTGTAAAGCACTGTGGAGCAGTATATAAGTCTAAGTGCTATTGCTGTCTTTCCCAGCAACAAATATATTGCATAGGTCCGTGATGGCAAACCTATGGCACGTGTGCCAGAAGTGGCATGCAGAGCCATTTCTGCTGGCACGGGAGAGGTCACCCGGAACAGACCCACCGTGCGTGCACACGCGCCCCCTTCCAGCCAGCTGATTGTTGTGTATCTGCCATGCATGTGCAGGGGGCGGGGTGCATGTGGGGGAGTCACATGCATGGGGACGGGGGGGGGGTCATGCACGCATTGCATTATGGGTGCAGGCACCCATGTGCGCATGCGTGCGCACCTTCAGCATAGGTGGTTTGGATATGATTTTTCCACTTAGAAGAGCCTTGTTTGGAAGCATCCTCAAGCTGGGTTCCCAAATCACTATTGACTATGTTGGCATAGGTGCTCAGCTAAAAACCAGACTAACTCCATTATTTATTCAAATGACCTCTAGGCTAATAGACTTTTCTTAGGTTGACACAAGAAAGGCAACCACTTGTCTTGCAGTGTGTTTTGACACTTGTAGCCTACTGTCAGATCCATGTATCTGCCATTCTTCAATGGAAGAAGAAGCGGGGAGGGAAGTTGGTAAAAGAAATCGTTTTTTGATGTAACTTGAATATATTAAATCTTATACTGAATGTGTATAACCTACACTTGATATACAACTGAGAGACTGAAACCAGATGCCCTGGAAACCTGTCACCTCTGGAAGAGAAAGCAAAAGAGAAGGGACCATAAAAATTCCAGCCGGGAGATGTTTCCTGAGAAACCCTTTAGAAGATTTTTTCTCAGAAAAGGGGAGGGGAAATTAACATGTTGATTCTTTGTTTTACAAAATACACATCAAGATAAGGTGTCTTAAACTCCCTTATCTATCACTGCATGCCTGGGAGATGCTGCTTTTGAATCCCTACTTGAATTGTCTCATCTCAATAAAGGATTCATTTTGAAACACCTAGATTTCAGAAGGTCATTCTTGTCGATTGAAATGGGAAAAGTTCAGTAGCCTGACACCGACAGTGTTTGTGAACATTGACTAAGCGGCAATAAGTTTGATTTTAGCAACAATTCTTCATGGATTCCCACATGGTCATCCTTCATCTAACATTCAATGCTGTCTTTGTTGAATTCACAGCACTGATGATATGTGAATAGAAAGTGATGGGGAGATTGCTGCCGTGTCTCTCAAGCCCTGGTTAGAACTTAGATATGCTTTTAGGTCAGTGTTTTTCAACTTTTTCAACTTCAACTTGAAGATATGTGGACTTCAAATCCCAGAATTCCCCAGCCAATATGCTTCTTCAAGTTATCAAATCTGAGAAACACGATTCTAGAAGCAGCCTGAAGGGTTTTTATTTATTTTTTATTTGTCTCTGTTAGTGTATTTTTTGTTTAAATAAAAAGGTGAACAAATTGATTATACATGACAGGATTCCCAATGCCTGAACACTTGTCAAATGGCATCTTCTAGGCCGGGGTGTCAAACTCAATTTGATTGAGGGCCAGCCACATCAGGGTTATGTTTGACCTTGGGGGTCCGGGAGGCATGACTGCGGTGCATGGCCAGCTCAACATCACTCATCAAGGCTCCATTTTTGGCCACGATGGCCTGTTGCGGCCCTTCTGTCAGCAAAAATGGAGTCCGGGGGGGGGGGACCACTCACAACCTCCCCGTCCCCCCATTTTGCTGGCAGTGGCACCATGGACAGGCCCTTCATTGTTTCCAGGGTTAAGCACCCCGTGGGCCGGATCTGTCACACGGTCCTTGAGTTTGACACCCCTTTTCTAGGCAAAGCAATACAAAAATAAAAAAAACCCTTCCTGGAGAAGCAATCGGCTAAAATCCTAAATCACTGACACTCGAGTATACATGTAGAATTCCACTGGACGCAGAATCACTTCAAAATCAGATTAAAATCCATGTTTTCTGCCTGGTTTGACTTCTCAACTGTAGATCAGTCTGTTGGTTTGTTTTACAATTTTTTACAATTTTATTTATTTTATTTCTATAGCCACCCATCTCAATTGTGCAATTCACAGCCCAGGCACAAGCCTTTGATTTATGTCAAGCTATGAATGAAACAAGGGGGCACTTAAAAGGGGAACAACAAAATGATGATGCTATGAGTGAGAGCAACCACAAAATTCTTTCAGCTGTCACATCAATTTGTATCTGACAAGTCCTTATTGAACAAGATGAAAGCTGCCATCAGTCTATTTTTGTTCTAAGCAATTTCCTGTGTTTCCAGAAAGATGAAAGATAACTCATTTTGGGCCCTCAAAAAAGAAAAAGGATAAAAATATGCTGATTCTAGGAAAATTTGATTTAGGAAGAAATAATTGGCTTCTCCTTTTTCACATCAATCTGGTTGTGCGTTAACAACTTCAGCAGGCAGTTTCTGTAGCCCATAATAGCTCTTTTCAGGCTGTGCGATAGAAAGTGCCTTAATCATGAGATTGTAATTAGGAAAATTTGGGACTGTGCTGAAATGGATAGATTAACTTTAAAAATTAAAGACAAAGATGATTCAGAATACTATTGGACATGGAATAAATTTTATGAATGAATAGAGAAAAGAGGTAGAAATTGGAGAAAGTAAGATTATGAAGGTTAATATATGTGTTGAAAGTAAAGAGGTCGATAAATATAAATGTAATTGATAAAAACGTAATTAATCTAGCAAAAGAAGAAATTAGTATTGTTATTATACCATTACTATTGCTAATAGTTTGTATGTTGAGATTTATTACCAATGTATGTTGGTCGTGTTCTATTTGTAAATAATGCTCTGTCAATGCACTGTTATTCAAAAATGTTTATGAATGAAAATTTATAAGAATATTAAAATATTTAAAAATTTAAAAAAGAAAAAGAAAGTGCTTTAATCATGTTTGATTTTGTGATTCTAGATATATTTTCTCCAATAGATAGTCCTTGACTTACAAACCATTTGTTTAGTGACAAATGTTCAAAATTATAACGGCACTGAAAAAAGTGACTTACAACCAATCCCCATAATTATGACTGTCATGGCATTCCCATGATCACATGGTCACAATACAGGAACCTGGCAATGGCATATGTTTATCATGATTGCAAAGTCATTAAGGGAAGCTGGATTTATGTAGCAACCACACAATTTGCTTAACTGCAGTTGATTCACTTAACAATTGTAACAAAAAAAATGTTTGTAAAATCAGGTGCAACTCACCTAAAATCACCTTGCTTAGCAACAGAAATGTTGATTCCAATTGTGGTGGGAAAGCAAGGATTACGTGTAATTTCCTCTCTTGTTCTAAATAAATAGATAAATAAATAAATAATCTGAAAAAGCATCATTCCT